TGCAGTTTCATTCCTGGCGCTTTAAACTTTCAAAGGACTAATTTAATCTCTGCGGAGGTAGCAGGGTTATTTTTACTACGCGACTTTCTATACTTCGGCCGGCGTCTTACATGAATGCAACTATCGCATAACAGCAGAGATGACTGTACACATCAACCACATGACAGAATCGCACTCGCGGGGACCAACGAATTACCGATGTATAAAATGTATTTTTAAATTCCCTTTCTTTTATTTACGTTATTTCAGAACTTTAAATGTAATGTCATTATATAATTCATCAATGTTTGGGTGCTCGGAACGCATGTCATTGACTTCCCATCGATTAACATTATAAAAGAGTTTCAATTTACAACAACTCCGTTTACGCCGGTCGGTTCGTCCAGGAACGCATCCCCGGTGTAAATCGAGAGCTACCTGTATGTCATTCACCAAGATTAAGATCATGCAGTAGAATATTCCTTATGCCACATGCAGGTTATTTAGTAAATCAAAATTCATAAGAAATGGAAAAGGAATAATGTTGTTTAAATCGGTCTTTCGGTATGACAAAAAAAAATAACTACAGGATTTGTACAGTTGGGATTTCACTGTACATGATACAAAGATTTCTAAAAGTCCAGGAACAGAAACCACAATTTGGTCATAAACCGCTGTTAAATGTGCCTAAAAATAACAACTTACCAACTACGCCCTCTAAAGTGCAACAAGACTGTTCAGCCCAAACAGCCAGTGCAGGAAGCACTTCAGCGATGCTCAACACGGCACCATGACAAGTATTGGGATCATGCCTTAAGTAACAAGTCTTGGAGAAAAGTTTGAACTGTGTGTGTCGGAACTTCTAGTATCAGATTGTAAAGTGCCTGTCCAACAAACATTTGTAAAAGATACTTCAATTCACAGAAAATGTTGAAAATGCAAGTTTCTAGTTCTTGTGTCATATAAAAAAGCCCACACATATGTAAACCGAGGCAAATTCACCTCTGCAGCAAGTTCCCTGATGTCAAAGTCGCAATGTCTGATCTTGCTGTCTATCAAGTGATCGATAAAGGGCACTGCATACTCTTCAAACTGAGCAATACCAACACTGAAAACAAAAGTCTTGCACCATTAAATGCCTCTTAAAATAGCGTTACATAAGTACTGTCATTCTTGTTGAACCTTTTACTTACATGAACTCTGACATCATAAATTATAAAATTAATCTATTGTTGAAACTGATTATATAATTGCAGTGTGAATAACAAGTCCACTTTTTCTTGCCAAGTACAAAGAGACAAAAACTTCTTAATGATCATCAGTGGGCAATAAAAGCTATTCTTAAAAATAAAAAAACTGTAAGAGACTAAAACATAATAAAATATTCTCGGGCGATCGGCCGCTTCAAACGGTCAAACAATAGAACTGACGTTTGAAGCGGCTGATCACCCGAGATGATTTTATTGAGTTATGTCACCGTGAAAGCTTCAAATCATAGATTAAAACATAATTACAAAGAATAAAGTAAAAATAATATGAAAACCATCACACAACTCAACAAACTGCAATACTAATTAATAAAATGTTCCTGTTCTATTATAAAACAGCCAATAGAGTGTACCTGATGTTGAGAAAAGCATCGCTCCTGCTGGTAACATCAACTCCCTCCAATGAGGACAAAGCATGAGGTAATAATCCTCTCTCATTGTACCATCTCCTTTCTCATTATACCATCTGAGTGCACCCAAAGCGGCTCTCCGACAATCGGTCTAAATATGGAAAAAAGAACCAAGAATGTTTACACTATTGTTGTGACAGCTATTTGATCCACATGATGCTTAAGTACAACATTAACACCTATAAGGATGAATATCGAGTAATAGTTCAGCGACAGATTATAATACTTATTCAGTATTAACATCTTACTGAACTATTAAACAAAATCGAAATCATGCACTCAATACTGAAGTATAGTTTCCACATACATTCTTTGCACTTTGGCATTCTACATGCTCCTAGCTACTCTGAATAGTTTTTATCACTAAATAAAAATACATATAAATTTTTAACATCAATTTTTGCTGTTCTGCTTTACAATTCATTTGCCAGAAATTAATTGCCGAGAAGACAGCAAGTTTCAAACAGAGGGCCACTGATTTATGTTAATATATTTCAATACGCGTAATAATTTCACTATCTGGGTTTTGTATATCCCACAGGCATGTTACATGTTTCCTGCTTTAGATATTTTGAAGAAATCCAGCCACTAAGTAACAGAGTCGCCTGTATATGAAATAAATATATATGTCAACATCTCTTCTAACCAAATACTATAAAGAAAACTATTAATTAAATAAAATATTTTATCATCTTAAAAAAAACTGCACACACATCCAGAAATAAACATGCATTTCACTGTTCTTAGCCTTTATCAAAGCATCCTAGGTTGATATCCCTCCTTAAAATTAATTTATATAAGGTAGTTGTCTTTGATTTTTTACACTGTTCATTTCTATCTCACCGACTATGAATATTAGACGTCAAGCTCTTTTTAATCTTTAAAGTTTGGCTAGTTTCACATGTTAGGCTGATACAGCTAATCCTATTTATCTGGCTTTGGCTCTCAGAGGGCTGTTATGGCACGGATTATTATTACACACCTAGAGCCACCTACTCATTCTATTAATCTAAATTATTTTCTTATGAATCATGGTTTACTCTATTAAATTTTGTGATCTGATACTGGTCTCCTGGGTTATTTCACTGTGTAGTCACGTGGTTGTAACCAATGTTTTAGAGGGTTTAAATGAGAGGCTGGTGGTTATATATGGTTCGATGGAAACATGAAGTACATTCCACCAAAACATTGCTACAGCTGGGAGACAAAACAGTATGAACTCAGGAGTCCACTCTCTAAACTCAGATCACTGTAAAAAACCTGAAATCTCATATAAAATAATCATATTAACACACGTACCATCCTAATTCTTTTGTCATTAAATTTCAGGTTCATAAAAATGAATCTGCAACATACACTTACCTCTCTATCAAACACCAGCATAGACATCAAGGCTGATACAATAGATTCCACAAATTCTTGCAGAGCATCAGGTTCATATGCTCCTGCAAGTGCAAAGCAGGCATAGCTTGCAGCATCACGGGTGTTAGTTCCCACTAAGTCTGGTTCATCACACTCCAGAGCTTCAAGTATGATTGGTACCACTTCATGGAGTTGCTGTTGTAAAACTCCCATGCGACCCAATTCTGCAAAAACAATGCATCTTCTGCGCCATTCCCCATCAGACTCTGGTGGTGTGAACAGTTGCAGAATTGAAGGGAGTACATCTTCTGCCACCTCGGGAAATTCTTCCAACAGTCTACTGGTACCATCTGCAGCTAACGACCTAAAATATAACATGACTGAACTTAACACCTCTTTCAACCGCTGAAACTGTAAGTCAGTCGCATATGAGAAACTTTACTGGGGTTACAATAAATCTGAACCACATACTAGTATTATCATTTTAACATCCTACCCTTCTGTTATTGTTATCACATTGACTGCAGCAATTCTATGTTAGTAGTAAAGTACATATTTGGCTGTGGAGAATATTTGGACTGAAGACTGGAGGACGTTACACAAGAACGAGCATCATAAGTTGTACTTCAAGTCAAAGAGGATGAGATGGGCAGGACATGTAGCCTGCATGGGAGAGAAGAGGAATTCATACAGGGTCTTGGTTCGCAAGACAGAAGGAAAGAGACCACTAGGAAGACCAAAATAAAGGTGGGAGGATAATATTAAAATGTATCTAGAGAAACAGGATTGGAATCAGCTGGCTCAGAAACATCCACATTTGCAGACAATGTAAATGTTGTTCATAAGGCAACTGACAGAAATTCAGGTAAATCTTTCCAATGATTAATGCATGAACACATTTTAATGAATTATACATAAATAACTGATATTGCTGTTGATGCTTGTCTTCTGGGTGAAACGTGTTGGTGAAACAAGTTGACGTGTAAGTACATTTCAGAGAGAAACATACTGTCTCCATCATCAGGGCCATGACGACCTCAAATCTCATGAACTAAAATTGTTTCTACACCATTTACAATATACGCTTTAAGAGAGATTGTAAACAGTGTACTTTTGCATGAAAAAATTAAGGATGATCTCTGAAAAGGCGGATCTTTACAGATAAGGCAGTTTTCCATGAGAGCGGTAGGGCCAATAGGCATAACACAGTTGTGTGGGTTACAGAAAGCCCACACTCCACTCTCTTGGGACTTGAAAAGATTAAAAGAGGAAGTAGTTATTGTTTATTTCAAGCTATTTCTGAATCACTCACATACAGTGACTGAGGAAAACCACAAAAATCCTTAGTCAGACTAGTAGTCTGTACAATGTCTAGCATTCTGATGCTACGTCTGTACAAAGAAAGTGCTGAGTATTGTTTATCACTGCAATGGCAAAGAATTCTGACAACACAAACATGAGCTCGCATTACCTGAACCGCCTGTGCATTTGTATCAGTTTGTCTTCAATGTCACAAAGATATCAATCTCATTCCATTATAACCAAAGGTTATGTCATTCTTAAACTCTGATACAGTTCTCGAATATTTCAAAGATGGAAAAAAGTGGGTTAAAAATAAAAATGTACCTAAACTATGCTGTCAGGCTGACAGTGGCGGTGGCTCAGGTGCTATGCTATCCCCTGCAACGAGATTTGCCGCAAGAGATCTGCCACCACGTTGTGGATCCATCTTTAGGAATATCAGACCTTTAGACAGAAACACACTGTCAATGACAAAATAAAGCAAACAGTTTAGGCAACAACATATGACATCTAGTATCGTCCAAACACTTCATGCTCGTACAGTGAGGCTATCAACAACTTAAAAGTAACAATTATTGAACTTACTAAGCAATTCTTTCCACCAAGAGAGTTTCTCACGTTATATTTATCATATGTAACTTACAGTTCTGTACTATCACTAGGTTTGAAACTGTCAGCATATATAAAAAACATATCATACAAAAGCTGTATGTACACATGTGATCTACCTTCATACAAAATTTCATATCGCTCACTCCAATGTTTCATAAGAGTTCACCATAGAAAATGAAGCTATACAGATTTGGTGAGACCAAATGTTTTTGTTTGATATTCTATAATCTGTGTATTTTTGAAGATATCTGACACATCAAATTCCAGAACCCTGCATTAAGTGGTGCTAGCATTGTTCCCCTTTCAGGAGTTCACGTGAACATCAGACAGATGGTTCATAACAAATTTCATTAAAATCTATTAGTTGGATCAAGAGTTACTGCGGGAGGGACAGACACAAAGGCACAACTGAGATTTTCTTGGCAATGTGGACGATAATGACCTTGTTCTGGATTCTAGCGCAATGTGGATTTATCAGTAGATGTTATCATTTAGGAGACACACTGAAACGCAAACAACAAGCCCAAGCAAAGTCTGGGTACAACATTCATAAAGTGGGGCAATTTTAGTCCTTCAAGCTCGGAGCCCATGCACGTTCACACAGGATCTAAACATTCACAATGACAGAAGCCCAAGTACACAGCTGCCAACCGCAAGCCAACAGAAAACTTGTCATTGTTCTGCCATCTGTTGGTATAAGATCAAACTAGCTGTAGCAACAGACCTTGAAACATTTACACTGGTCACGTTTGTTCTTTCATATGACTGCTGACACAAGAACAAAACAAGACCTTTTAAGAGCTTCACGCCAGATAGTTAAGGAATTCAACATGGCACTGCCTAGAACATAATGTGGTCTAAAAAAATTACGATATACTGGACATTTTAAAACAATCTAATGCAATAGAAATGTGCAATTGTAAAGCATAAATATAACTAAATTATGAAGATTTCTGTCTTCTGGGTTGTTGCGCTGTGTAGTCTGGTTGATGTTAACCAACGTTTCAGAGGAAATATGGACCGACAATGGTCAGCCTTCATGTGAACACCTGCTTGCATAACAATGCAAGAAAAAGCATTGGAATTCCTAACCCATTCTTGCAACAATATTGGCTGAGCATGCCGCAAGGCTCTTTTCTCATTTATTATACATGCAGTTTAATTGCCTGAATAAACCGTATTGCAATCCACTCCTTTATCCAAGAAACTAATTGTTGCGTCATCTGTTTACTCGGCATTGTTGTGTTTCATTACTGCCGTCAACAATCGACTTTCGTTATTGCGGAAAGAGTCCTGTTGTGAATCGCTTGTACAAGAAGTGCGTCGTAGAGTAGATAATTTTGTTCTGTTAAAAACCTTTTAGAATATCACAGGTACTTATCTTAAATAAGAATTATTACGAAATCTGTGATACTGCCCTCCACTCTCCATTTTAGTTTCGATTCAATTGAACATTGCCGGTGGACATCGAGGTCTCTTCCTGTTGGAAATGGTAAATGGCACCATAAGAGATTTCATCACCACCACGTGAATCATCAGGCTATACAGTCAAACCTCGAGGATTCCTATTTATTATTATTGTTGTTCCTCACATTCACGTGTTTCCATGAACGCCTCGGATCATGAACAATTCAGTTTACAAACAAATTTTCCGAACACAAAGCGTCTCGGATGACGTACTGTGTCTCGAGTTACAAACACGCAAGCCATCAACATCCGTTCACGGCATCATTGATAGTAAAATAAGTTTTAAAGAATAGAAGGGAGTATCAGCGTCGGCAGTATTCGTAGAAGAATGATCCAGCATGGGGCCAAAGAAAGACAATTATTGCCTCAAATATGTGGATGTTAAGAAATGGAGTATATTTTCTGAATAAGAATTCTAAAACGAATATAAACACAAAGACGTATTTACGTCAGATTCTCCGGAACCGTGGTTCCACTGTCAAATTTTATTTCTGTTTTGTAAGCCTAATTATCGATGACTCTCCCTCTCATTATCTTAATACAACAGCTGATTAAATACTCAGTTTGGGATGGCAAAATCAACGCTCTGTACTATTCTTAAAAATAGACAGACAATCAAGAAAGCCGATGTTGCAGATCCGGGAAATGCTTGCTATTATTGAGTGGAAAGTCTTTTGTCCTCTCGTCTCACACCAAAAGAAAACTAAGATTAAAATTAACCAAATATAATTTTGCCAGTTCTGATGTATGGGTGCGAAACTTGGTCTCTCACTTTGAGGGAGGAACATAGACTGAGGTTCTCTGACAACGGAGTTTCGAGGAAGATATTTGGACCCAAAATGGGAGTGGGATAGATAATAGAGAAAAATGCTTGACGAGCTCCAGGGCCTGTGCTCCTCAACCGATGTCGTTGGAGTTGGTTAGTTATTGCTTGGGTGGCCTGAAGGGAGGAAGCCTCTGGGGTATGTGGGAGGATAACATTAAGATGAACCTTAGGGAGATGGGACTCAATGGAGCGAACTGGATGCAACTGGATCAGGGTAGACCCCGGTGGCGGGATTTTTGAACACGTTAATGAACCTTCTGGTTCAGTAAAGGATGTGGGCTATTCTTTGACGAACCGAGTACCAGTCGACTTTTCGTAGAATATCTTGCACATTGCAAAGTGTGAGTAGCGTGATGTAGACCTGATCTACGCATGCGGTAGAACAACTTAGATCTTTTGTGACTGTTCCCAAGTGTAATTCTCGCGTTAATTTGATAAATTTAAATGACGTATTGTGCTCTAGTGTATATAAACGTGTAACTTAGACAGGAAAGTCCTTCATCATGTAAGCTCTTAAGCAATTTTAGTTCTACAAAGGGAGAGAAGAACTCGAAAATTTTATGCTCATGAAAAGGCGTAGCCTTATTTTTCCAAAATTTGTTTGTTAACTGCCCGGTTCTGCAACAAAGGTCGCATAATTTCTGTGGCATGTTTTTGTAGTAATTTTTTTAAAACGGTTCACCAGAGTAGAAGCATCTAAGACTTTATGGTTTACATTTATATTTTATACTTAATGTCTACGTATTTACATATAACAAGTTTTAAATTTATGCGAGTAATGACAAACACGCGGCATGACTTAACATTGCCTATATCAGTCACATCTTCAGGGTGATTAAGTCAAGAAGAATGAGATGGGCTGGGGATGTAGAGCGCATGGATGGGACAAGAGGTGT